GTGCACTTTGTTGCTATGAGTAGCTCAACTAATTCTTTTATGTTATCTTAGACTGCATAGTCCCATACCTATACAGCCCTCGGATCTCTCTCATTCTGGTGTGTTCGATTCATCCCTGTACCCCCTACCCAGAAGCTCGTCAGGAGCCGCCCCTTGTCCGTGCCTCTGCACCGGCGATCACTCCCCGCCCTCCTACGGTACTCTGGGTTGTCACAGGCCCACCAGCTTCCGCCTGGTTCGTCCTCGAACCACACCGTACTGGGAGAGTACCGGCTCTGATACCATCTGTAACGACCCGAGGCCGCTATGAATTGTCGAAACTGCCCTCACACAGCAACCCGAGACCTTTCAGCGTGTTTTGTCCTCACTCACACGCATACCGAGACACTTCCCAGTAGGTCACCCATCCTGAGATTGCTCCAGAGCCAGCACGCTTAACTTTGGAGTTCTCTCGGGATAGTCAACCAAAAAGGTAGGTGCACCTTATTGCTATGAGTAGCTCAACTAATTCTTTTATGTTATCTTAGACTGTATAGTCCCATACCTATATAGTCCTCGGATCTCTCTCATTCCGGTGTGTTCGATTCATCCCTGTACCCCCTACCCAGAAGCTCGTCAGGAGCCGCTCCTTGTCCGTGCCTCTGCACCGACGATCACTCCCCGCCCTCCTACGGTACTCTGGGTTGTCACATTTTCTGCTCATGAACTGCGATCTCTGTGATCCTTTCTCTGCAAATTTCGGGGCTTTTGTTAGGGTTCTTTTGTTTGTTATCTGATTTTTGTATTAGATTTTTATTTGATTCTTCGATTACCATGGAGGGCGATTCGCATGATTGGGAGTTGCTTCACGAGTCTGACATCGATTCGATCGAGTCGCAAGCTTCGTACGAGAAGTCGAGCAATTCAAGTGAAGTCGATGGTGTTTCGTTTGGTGTGTTCCGCACTGATCACTTCTCTGTTGAAAATCTCGTCGAAAGATCAGGTAAGACCACTGATCCGAGCGGAAATGAATTTGTCAAATCGGATGCGAAAACTGGAGATGAGAGGAAGACCACTGATTCAGGAATTCCTAAAGTTTCTGATCGAAAGCACGTTGAGAGCCAAGCTGCTGCTGAAGAAACGGGTAAAACCCTACCTTGTAATGAGGATTCAAGCAAGAGCTGGTCTGATTCAGGTGGTGAAGTGTTGGTTTCTGGGGATTCTGGGGCAACAACAAAGGAAAACGAGTTTGTCTCTAACAGTGGATTAGTCTCTTCTGAAGCGATGGTGGGGAATGAGGTGAGAATAGTTGAGAGAGAAGCTCATTCTGTGAATCTCGATGCGAAAACTGGAGATGAGAGGAAGAAAAGTGGTATGGTGTGGTGGAAGATGCCATTTGTGCTTCTCAAGTACTGTGGATTTAAGATTGGCCCCGTTTGGACTGTATCCATGGCTGCAGCTGTGATGGGTTTAGCTCTATTGGGACGCAGATTGTATAACGTGAAGAAGAAGGCTCGGAGGTTTCAGCTTAAAGTTACAATTGATGATAAGGTAATAACACTGCCTCTGATGGTGTTGCTTTCATTGATGTTGAATTCTGACTGCGTCATATCTGAGCTGTGGAGTTTCACAGGTGGTTTTGTGGTACAATTTCGATACGAATTGGCCTAAATCGAAGGATTGGTTTAATGGTAGGTTATGCAGAGCAGACCTAGGTCTTTTAAGCATTTGGTTTTCATTGAGAAGGAACAACACTTTTCCTCTTAAACAACACTATGGGACAATGCCAAATTGAAGCCTTAGTTTACACATTTGATCTTTAGAAACTGTTTGCATCTGTTAGTAACCGGACCCTTGCCCTTGCCCTCACATGATGCTTTGCAAGGGTTTTAATATACGTGAAGCTGAAGATGTTAGCTTCTTTTTCGGTTTTGTATCCTTCCATTCCATCACGAGGACCTTCTTCCTTGCTTTCCTGGTTCTTCATATTGATCATGGTATTTTTGCTTTGTTCAATGATGCATGCAGAAGGTTTCGCGAGTGATGAGTCAGGCTGCACGACTCAACGAAGCTTTTACAGAGGTGAGAAGGGTCCCTGTGATCCGCCCTGCTCTCCCTTCTCCGGGCGCAAACCCATGGCCGGTTTTGAGCCTCAGATGAAACTCAGGTTTCCGCAAAAACCCGAATGGTAAGAAGAATCACCAGCCTCTTTATGTTATTTAGCAAAGTATATAACATATATATGTTGGTTTTAATGCTCTAGGATACTCCGTGATATGACATTTTGACTATGTGATGACTATGTGAAGTTTCGGAAAGGAAGACTTGGATTTGGTCGAAAAAAACGGTTTTCGGATCAAATAAGAGTGTCGGGACGGTTTCAGCCTTCTGACTCGGACCGAGTCAGTACTTGACTCGGACCGAGTCAGTCCCATGTTTTGGGCTTGGCTGATGTTTTGACTCGGTCGAGTCAAAGTTTTGACTCGGACCGAGTCAATACTAAATGGGCCCAGTCCAGAGGTGAC